GAGAGCATGGCAGAAATCACCAGCTTCTCATGGCTCATCATGCGAGATGGGACTGGCTGGTCCATGGCATCATCATGGCATGGCAGCTAGCACCACCTCCGTAACATCCTCTTGCCCTTCCCCTCACCTTTTCTGCCTCAGCTATTCTGCCTCTCTCTCGCCCTCTCCGCCCTTGCCAGGTTCGGGTTGGACAGCCGGGTGCGAGGGCATGATGACAGCCGCTGTGAGATTCGACACGACGGCACGGCAGAAAGCACCTGGCTCTGGGTGACTGCGTGGATGCAGCGTCAACCAAGACTGCTGCTGAACTGGCGAGCGACCATGGCGTGGCATGGCTGAAAAGCACCACCCAGTATGTTTCAGCCTTTACCTTCCCTTGCTCCTGGGCTCACAACCCCTGCCCACGCCTCACTTCCCTTGCTCCCTCCCATGGGGCCCACTCACCCGTCGCTTTCCATCCCTTTCCCCTCTCTCCCTATGCTGCAGTTTTGGTCGTGCCAAAACACACCCTTCACCTGCTGTTGCTTCTGCGCGGGATGTTTGCTGCTGTTGCTTTGGGCTGTTTGCTGCCATTGCTTCTGTTCGGGCTGTTTACTGCTGGTTGCTTCTGTTCGGACCATCACTGCTTGGCACTGCTGCTGCCGTCACTGCTTGCTTGCTACTGCTGCTGCCGTCACTGCTTGCTTGCTACTGCTGCTGCCGTCACTGCTTGCTTGCTGCTGCTGCTGCCGTCACTGCTTGCTTGCTACTGCTGCTGCCGTCACTGCTTGCTTGCTACTGCTGCTGCCGTCACTGCTTGCTTGCTACTGCTGCTGCCGTCACTACTTGCTTGCTACTGCTGCTGCCGTCACTGCTTGCTTGCTACTGCTGCTGTAGTCACTGCTTGCTTGTTACTGCTGCTGCCGTCACTGCTTGCTTGCTACTGCTGCTACCGCCAGTGCTTGCTTGCTACTGCTGCTGCCGCCAGTGCTTGCTGCAGCTCTGCTGTCACTGCTTGCTACTGCTGCCCTGTCGGTGCTGCCGATGTCGTTGCTTGTGCTGCCGATGTCATTGCTTGTGCTGCCGATGTCATTGCTTGTGCTGCCGATGTCATTGCTTGTGCTGCCGATGTCATTGCTTGTGCTGCCGATGTCATTGCTTGTGCTGCCGATGTCATTGCTTGTGCTGCCGATGTCATTGCTTGTGCTGCCGATGTTATTGCTTGTGCGGCCGATGTCATTGCTTGTGCTGCCGATGTCGTTGCGTGTATTGCTACTGCTCACTGATTTGCAGCCCCCGCGCCCTCTCCCCAATCATCCAGTCCTCCGCCTCGTTCCTTCCCCCCCTTGTTGCCCCTTGATGTCCTCCGCAGGTCGTGTGGGCATTCTGGGAAGGAACCTGCCTGGGTCTTTCATGCAGCCTGGCTGCTGCAATTGTCCCTGCTGGGTCAACACATCCAGCACCACAAGGGCTGCAGAAGCAACAGTAGAAGAAACAACATCAGTAGCAGCAGCAAGAATAGCAAGAAAAGCAGCAACAGCAGCACATAGGGTTTTTTTTTGCACTGGGACTGAAATTCACAACGCTTTGTCTCCAGTACGCTCGCATGCTGTACAGGAAACTGATACAAGAGGATATTATGCGGAGAAATGAAACACATTGAACCTATCTTGATTGTTGGGATGGCACAAACGGTTCAGAAGCACCAGACGAGCACAACCACGAGTGTTGTACAGTACTCACAGTTGTTTCCGTGATGCTCAAGGCATCCTTGTTTGCAGTAGTCGAGAGGCGGGAGACGGACATCAACGTCACACCTTAGTCAGATTACACCGTTCATCAACACTCGTCACCGCTCGTCACCACTCACGGGCACTCAGCACCACCAATGACCACACACAACGGCCCAGCACCGCTCACTCCCACTCTGAACCACTCTGCAGCACTCGGCACCGCTCAGAGCCGCTCATCACCACTGGACACCTCTCTCAGTCGCTCATCACCCCTCATCACCGCTCGTCACCACTCACGGGCGCTCAGCACCACCATGACCGCACACAAAGGCCCAATACTTCTCATTGCCGCTCTGAACCTTGTTGCAGTACTCGGCACCGCTCAGAGCCGCTCATCACCACTCGGCACCTCTCTGAGTGGCTCATCACTTCTCGTCACCGCTCACAGGCGCTCAGCACCACCAATCATCGCACACAACGACCCATCACCACTCACTTCTGCTCTGAACCGCTCTGCAGCACTCGGCACCGCTCAGAGCAGCTCATCACCACTTGGCACCTCTCAGAGTGGCTCATCACTACTCCTCACAACCCACGGGCGCTCAGCACCAGCAATGACCGCACACAACGGCCCAGCACCGTTGACTGCTGCTCTGAACCGCTCTGCAGCACTCTGCACCACTCACAGCCGCTCAACACCACTCGGCACTGCTCAAAGCCGCTCATCACCACTCCACACCTCTCTGAGCCGCTCATCACCACTCGTCACAGCTCGTCACCACTCACCGGCACTCATCACCACCAATGACCACACACAACAGCTCAGCGCCGCTCACTGCCACTCTAAATCACCGAGAGCCGCTCACAGCCACTCGACACCGCTCCCAACCTAATCAGCGCTCATCACCGCGTGTCACCGCTCACGGGCACTCAGCACCACCAATGACTGCACACAACGGCCCAGCATTGCACTCAACCTCCTCCTCCTCTTCCTCCTCCTCCTCCTCCTCCTCCTCCTCCTCCTCCTCCTCCTCCTCCTCCTCCTCCTCCTCCTCCTCTTCCTCCTCCTCCTCTTCCTCCTCCTCTTCCTCTTCCTCCTCCTCCTCCTCCTCCTCCTCCACCTCCTCCTCCTCCTCCTCCTCCTCCTCCTCCTCCTCCTCCTCCTCCTCCTCCTCCACCTCCTCCTCTTCCTCCTCCTCCTCTTCCTCCTCCTCTTCCTCCTCCTCCTCCTCCTCCTCCTCCTCCTCCTCCTCCTCCTCCTCCTCGTCACCTTTGTCCTCGTCCTTGTCACGCGTCGTCCTCGTCGATATATCAATTAGCGTATCGATAATGTTGCCATGCATTGTACCATTCAGATGTATTACATTTACATGATTGGAATTTCCATTTATGCAGCTAGTAATTATGTTCTGTGTGTTTTGTCTTTTCATATTCTAGATTGTTGATTCTTCAACTCAGTAAAAACATATCAAATTAATATGTCATGAACAAAAGCATATTTTACTGTTACCCTGCAAATTTCCAGCTGACGGAAAAGTTGTGCAACGCGGAACCGCGCTTCAAATCGGTACCGCGCTTCAATGTTTTCTCTTTGACAGCGACGCGACACGACTGGTGCTGATCTGATGGAGGAAAAGCACTCTCCTATACCTCTCCCACCAGCACGCGAGCATCACCAGGCGGCGGATCGTGCGCCACGTGGCAGGCGGCGGATTGCGCGCCATGAGAGGCTCGGCACTGCCTGGTGAGAGGCTCGGCACAGCCGGCTGAGAGGCGCGGCGAAGTGCCTTTTCCACGCTGCAGGCCTAGCAAGGTGCCCTTTCCGCGCTGCAGGCACGGCCAAGTGCCTTTTCCGCGCCCCAGGCACGGCCAAGTGCCGTTTCCTCGCTGATTTCTTCCTTTTCCTGCCTTTTCCCGCTGTTTTCCCCTCTTTCCCATGGTTTCCCATGGTTTCCTTCCCGCGGTTTCCCGCGGATTTTGGGGTAGAGATTGCTGGGCAGGTGAGAGTTTGGAGCAGAGATTGCCGGGCAGGTGAGATTTTGAAGCAGGGGTGGCCACGCAGGTGAGAGCTTGAAGAAGAGGTGGGCGGGCAGGTAAGAGTTTCTTCAAGCAGAGGTGGCTGGGCAAGTGAGTGAGACGACTGAAAGATAAGCTGCTGCAGCTGCCAAAGGGTAGCATGCATGTGCGCGTGCTTATGTGAATGTTACATACACAAGTATACTCGTTCGTTCCACGTGCACTTATTCATACGAATCTGCTTGTTCATTCGCCCCCGCAGGTACAGGGGAAGACAGCACGGAGCAAGTGGGAGTTGGAGCAGACTCCAGCGGATCTAAAGCGGGTTCAGGAGCTATACTCGCGGATGGAGGGAGAGAACCGAGCGCTGCCGTTTCCCGCCGTCAACCTAATCCCCTCCCCTTCCTGCGCCTCCACTCCTTTGTGCTCGGCTTCGAGCCGCTCACGTCGCGCAGCTCGCAGCAGTAGCGCACACGCGCTGACGGTTTCCGAGCTCACGCGCCAAATGCGGGACGCGAAGAACGTGATGTGCGCTGCGGACCCGCGCCACGGGCGCTTCTTATAAAACGTGCGTGATGCGACACGCGGCGTATGCAAGAGGCGGCGAAGACAATTGCTAGGGAAACTCGGATAAGGGTGAGAAAAATGCTTCCTCGTTCCGCCCTTGCTCATTCCGCCCTTGTTCGTTCCACCCTTGCTCGTTCCGCACTTGCTCGTTCCGCACTTGCTCGTTCCACACTTGCTCGTTCCGCCCTTGCTCGTTCCCCACTTGCTCGTTCCGCCCTTGCTCGTTCCGCACTTGCTCGTTCCGCCCTTGCTCGTTCCGCACTTGCTCGTTCCGCTTCCGTCATTCTGCCCTTGTTCGTTCCTCCGCCCTTTCTCCTCGTTCCGCCCTCCCCCTCGTTGCGCCCTTCCTCCTCGTTGCGCCCTTCCTCCTCGTTGCGCCCTTCCTCCTCGTTGCGCCCTTCCTCCTCGTTGCGCCCTTCCTCCTCGTTCCGCCCTCCTCCTCGTTCCGCCCTCCGCCAGCCCCTATGCTAAAACCTCTCCTTCCCTCCGTTCACCTCCTCTCCTCGGAAAGGTTGGGGCAGACTCGGAGCGCTCTGGGCAGATTTTTGAGGCACCTCAAAAAGGGTTGGGACAGACTTGGAGCGCTCTGGGCAGACCTGTTGAGGCCAGTGAGGTGAGGCCCCTCGCGCTCGCTCCTATGGCTCCTCACTCACTCACGTGCTCTGCTCCCCTCCACTCACCTGTGCTGCACCCTAAACCTCTGCCATGGTTTCTAAACCATCCGCCATGCCGTCACACCTGCCATCCTGCCATCCCTCCCCACCCCGCCTTGCGCAGAAAGGTCTTCTCTCCTTTCTGCGGGGCACCGTGAAGAGACCTTCTCACCCCGCCAAGACACGAGACATACTTACAAGTAGGATATTTATTAGGACATGCACCTTGCTCTTGTTTGTATGGTACTTGTGCGTGTGTCGATATAAGAACGACACGGGGCTTGGGCTAGGCACGGGGTAGGTTTGGGCTAGCCTTGGCCCCTACAAGCCTGGTTACTGTTCCCGCTGCCCGGTTACAGTTCGTGCCGCCCGTTACTGTTCAGGCCGCCCGTCACTGTCCATGCCGCCCATCACTGTTCCCGCCGCCCGGTTACAGTTCAGGCCGTCCGTCACTGTTCAGGCCGCCCGTCACTGTTCAGGCCGCCCGTCACTGTTTATGCCGCCCGTCACTGTTCATGCCGCCCGTCACTGTTCATGCCGCCCGTCACTGGTCATGCCGCCCGTCACTGGTCATGCCGCCCGTCACTGGCCGTGCCGCCCGTCACTGGTCATGCCGCCCGTCACTAGTCATGCCGCCCGTCACTGCTCGTGCCGCCCGACACTGCTCGTGCCGCCCGTCACTGCTCGTGCCGCCCGGTCACTGCTCCTGCCGCGCGTCACTGCTCCTGCCGCCCCGTTACTGTTCATGCCGCCCGATTACCATGCCATGCCATGTCCTCGTGCTCGTTTCCGCCCTTGCTCGTTTCTGCCGACAGTGACGGGCGCAGCTGGGCAACGGTGCGGCGAGGCTAAGGCGAAGCCAGTGAGGCACGAGGTGAGACAACGGTCCCCACTCTCCTGGCCCCCTTCTCCTATGCTCTCATCTCCTGGCCCCCTTCCCCTATGCTCTCGTTCCTTTGCTCTGCACTCGTCGTTCCCTTGCTCTGCACTCGTCGTTCCCTTGCTCTGCACTCGTCATTCCCTTGCTCTGCACTCGTCGTTCCCTTGCTCTGCACTCGTCGTTCCCTTGCTCTGCACTCGTCGTTCCCTTGCTCTGCACTCGTCGTTCCCTTGCTCTGCACTCGTCGTTCCCTTGCTCTGCACCCGTCGTTCCCTTGCTCTGCACTCCTCCTCACCCCCCTGTTTTCCCATCCCCCACTGTTCATCCTATTGCTTCCCCATCCCGCTCTGTTCACCCCACTGTTTCCCCATCATGCACTGTTCACCCCACTGTTTCCCATCCTGCACTGTTCACTCTCCGCTCTGGTCTGGATGAGGCTCGGAGAGCCATGCTGTCACACCTGCCATCCTGCCACCCCTCCCCACCCCGCCTTGCGCAGGTGGCCTTCTCTCGCTGCAGGGCGCCGTGAAGAGACCTTCTCACCCCGCCAAGACACGAGACACATCTACAAGTAGGATATTTGGAAGGACATGCACCTTGCTCTTGTTTTGTACGGTACTTGTGTGCGTGTGTCTATATAAGAGCTGCGGGGTGGGTGTGGGCTAGGCACGGGGTGGGTTTGGCCTAGCCTTGGCCCCTGCAAGCCCGGTTACTGTTCCTGCCGCCCGGCTACTGTTCATGCCGCCCGGTTACTGTTCCTGCTGCCTGCTTACCTTTCCAGCCGCCTGGTTATCGCTCCAGCCGCCTGGTTACCACTCCACCCACCTGGTAACCGCTCCAGCTGCCCGGTACTGTTCCAGACGCCCAGTTACTGCTACGGCCACCTTGTTACTGCTACTGCTGCCCAGCTACTGTTCCTGCCGTCTTGTTACTGTTCCAGCCACCTTCTGACAACATGAACAGGAACAGGAACATGAACAGGAACAGGACCAGGACCAGGACCAGGACCAGGATCAGGACCATGCCATGCCAAGGATAGGGGGGGACCATGCCATGCCAGGGATAGGGGGGGACCATGCCATGCCAGGGATAGGGGGGGACCATGCCATGCCAGGGATAGGGGGGGACCATGCCATGCCAGGGATAGGGGGGGACCATGCCATGCCAGGGATAGGGGGGGACCATGCCATGCCAGGGATAGTGGGGGCGGTCTGGGGGGCTGTGGGGGGCTGTGAGGAGGATTGGGGGGTAGGGGGCTGTGGGGGGCTGTGGGGGGCTGTGGGGGGGCTGTGGGGGGGCTGTGGGGGGGCTGTGGGGGGGCTGTGGGGGGGCTGTGGGGGGGCTGTGGGGGGGCTGTGGGGGGGCTGTGGGGGGGCTGTGGGGGGGCTGTGGGGGGGCTGTGGGGGGGCTGTGGGGGGGCTGTGGGGGGCTGTGGGGGGGCTGTGGGGGGGCTGTGGGGGGGCTGTGGGGGGGTTTCTTCTCCCCTCTTGTTATTGTCACTCCCTTTGTTGTCCACACTCGGCGTTATACCGTAGTACCACTTTCTGCTCTACGATATTATTGTTTCTCTTCCTTTTCCTTCTCTCTTGTACCGTACCGTGTATTATTATTACACTGATAACAAACAGTGCTGCTTGTTTTGTGGCCCTCAATTCCCTTAGGCTTCATTTGTTTTCCTTGAGCAGTGTACGAGATAAGACATATATGTCTACTATCCGAGCGATGACAGTATTTTTTGGTGCCTCAAACCATTTGCAACATGCTGCAGCAAGGCTACAAGGCAAGGGGATGTGTGAGCTTCCAGTGAGTCGAGGTTGAAGAGGCGGTCAAAGGAGAGAGATGGAGGACCTGAAGGGGGAAGGGTTGAATGGAGAGAGGTACAGATGGTAACACCTTATGGGCATGAGTAAGAGAGGCGAGGGAAAGTGAGGTGGGGTGGTAGAGGACTTGAGGGGGGAAGCAGCAAATGGAGAAAACGATGCGGAGATCTTATTTTCCATTCGTCCCTTACTTATAAAACAGGTACAAGCGATTCTGGGAGAGAGGTAAAGGATTTGAGGATGGAAGCAGGGAAGGGGAGATAGAGCATATGGTAACACAAAATGGTAATGAGAAAGTTGGATAAGAACACTTGACAGGGTGTGTTCATGTTTGTCTGCATGTGTGTGCATGTATGTGCAAGTGCGTTAGTGCTGCTCGTACACATATGAGGGTTGAGTGCATGTGGTGTATGTGTGAGTGCAAATGTGTGTGTGCGAATGTGTGTGTGTGAGTGTGTGTGTGCGAATGTGTGTGTGCGAGTGTGTGTAGGTGAGTGTGTGTAGGCGAATGTGTGTGTGCGAGTGTGTGTGTGCGAGTGTGTGTGTGCGAGTGTGTGTGTACGAGTGTGTGTGTGCGAGTGTGTGTGTGCGAGTGTGTGTGTGCGAGACTGTGTATGTGTGAGTGTGTGTGTGCGAGTGTGTGTGTGCGAGTGTGTGTGTGTGCGAGTGTGTGTGTGTGCGAGTGTGTGTGTGCGAGTGTGTGTGTGTGCGAGTGTGTGTGTGTGCGAGTGTGTGTGTGCGAGTGTGTGTGTGCGGGTTCACGCAATTGCTAGCACTTGGATTGCGTACACGCGTGCAAGAATGAGTGCATGCATGCATGGACGTGCGCATGTGGGCTACATGCATGCATGAAGCTTTTGCATGCGAGCATGTATTAGTGCACCTAGGAATGGACGAGAGGGGAGAGAAATGCGCTCACCACTTTCTGATCATCCCCTCCAGTGGCAATGCAGGCATCATCGGGTGCCACTGCCACCTGGTCATGGAGGGAGGGGGAGGAGGAGCAGAGAAAAGGCTTTTGAGACGCCTCAAAAGGCAATGCAGGCGTCACCGGGTGGCCGCGCAACCTGCCATGCAGGGAGGGGGACGCCAAAGCAACAGCCTTGTCAGCCACTGCAAAATATGCCCATGGAGGGAGAGAGAGGGGCAACGTATAAGTTCTAGGCTTAACCAGTGTAGGATAAGTGTAATTGAAAAGGATGCACAGGGCAATCCTCACCGAATACAGGAAATACACAAAGTTACGGTACGATCATACGGCATGTGGACTGCTTTACAGTGTTGATAGATCGAGTGTGTGCGAAGGAGAAGGCAGTGAGGGGATCGGCCAAAGAGACGTCCCACACAGCCACACTGGCATGGGGAGGGGGTGAGGCAACGGGGCAGGAGAATCAAGAGAAGCAACGCAAAGTAAGAAGAACAGATGACCGAGGAAGGTTCAAGGAGAGGGCAGTGAGTGGGTCGGGCAGAGTACCGCACTGCCACACTGCTGTGGGGAAGGGGGGATTGAAGGGACGGCGGATGAACAAGGGAAGGGCTGCAGGGTAAGCAGAATACATGATTGATCATTGAGCCAGTTGAAAGAGAAGGCAGTGAGGGGATCGGCTAGAGTGAGGTCCCTGCCATAGGAGGGGGCAAGGAGAAGGGTGGGGAAGATGGTGACTTTTGAGTTGACTCAAAAGTCACCTCTTTAAGTCCCATACAGCCACGCTGCACAGGAGGAGACAGGGGGGAGGGTGGGGAAGGAGGTATTGTTACGCTGACAGCTTAGTAGAGTATGGCAGCGATGGGTGGGGCAGGGGAAGGGGAATGGGGAGGGGGAGGGGAGGGGGAAGGGGAAGGGGAAGGGGAAGGGGGAAATGGACCCTCTCTAAAAGATGCTCATGGGGATTTGGAAGGGTGACAGCATGGCAGGGCATGGCAGGATGGCACAGCAAGACATTCCCACCTGCCATTGTCACTGCCTCTCACTCGCTACCATGCCAGCGTGGCAGAGCATGCCAGCGTGGCAGAGCAATCCCACCTGCCATTGCCACTGGCAGTCACGAGGCCAGGCGAAGCAGAGAGCCACCTGGCATCATTGACCCCTTCGTCCCCACAATCCACAAAGCTGGGTGGGGGGAAGAGTGTGTGTAAGGTAGGGTTGGGAGAGGAAAGGGAGTGGAAAGAGGCGCGAGACAAAGACACATTCGGTGTCGTTCATCCCACTTCCCCACAATCCACAACACTGGGGGGTGAAGAGTGTGTGTGGTAGATGGCGGGAGGAGATAAGGCAATCAAGAGGGTTAGGTACCAGACCATGTAACATGCACCATACACCATGCGCCATGCACCATGCACCATACACCATACACCATGCGCCATGCACCATGCACCATGCACCATACACCATACACCATGCGCCATGAACTGTGCTCCATACACCATGCACCATGCGCCATGCACCACACAACACACAACGCACACCACACGATGCACTCACCCCCCCTCCCCTCCCTCCTCTCACCCCGCTCTCCGCATGCTCCAACCAAACCACAAGTGCGCACAAGCGGGAACAAGTGGGGTTGGCTTGGCACCACACCACACCACACCACACCACACCACACCACACCACACCACACCACACCACACCACACCACACCACACCACACCACACACGCCCCACGCATACATCCCCCAACCCCCAACCGCCACCTCTCACCATCCCCATCTCACCGTGTGCATGCTGCACTCACAGCACAGGCGGGAACAAAAGGGTTCAGTGGCACACACAACTCTTTTACTCAATGTACCCACCCACCAACAGCCCGCCTCTCACCCCGCATGCTGCACGGAGTGCTGCACTGATGGCATTGGCGGGCCATGGGAGAGGATTCAGTGCCACGCACTCACCCCACCTCAAACCCCATGCACCAAACCCTTTCCTCCCCCCCACCCCGCCCCCCCCTCTTCTTTTCCCTTTCTCAACCCGCATGTTGCACTGAGTGCTGCACCGATGGCACGATAGGGCTGTGGAAGTGGGGTCAGTACCATGCGCCATCACCCAAACACACTGCACTGCACCGCACGACACTCACTCACCCCGCATGCTGCACGGAGTGCTGCACTGACGGCATGGGTGGGCCGTGGGAGAGGCAGAAGAGAGGGCGCAGAGAGGGGGAGGGGCAGGAGGAAGAGGAAGGGGGAGCGGACGAGGAGGAGGGGGGAGCAGCAGCGGAGGAGGAGGAGGAGGGGAGGCAGCGGGAGTCAAAGAGGAAGCAGCAGTTGGCCGAGCAGGCAGCGTGGAAAAACCGACCACAGGGGCTGAACGCTGCTGACGTCACCTGAAGAGGTGAGCAGAGGAAAGACAAGAGGGGAATGCAAATGAGAGGAGAGGAGGGGAGACAGCGGGAGTCAAAGAGGGGGAGCAGCAATGGGAGCAGCAGCGGGATCTATCACATGGGCTTAACGCTGCTGACGTCACCTGAAGGGGTGTGCGGGGGGGTGGAGTGGAGGTGGGGTATGGGGCGTGTGGGAGAAGTGACAGGGAGTGAACAGAGACGAGAAATACGGGATGACGATCGAGAGGAGGGTGCAGTGCTGTGAAGGAGGACGGGAGGGAGCAGGAACAGCAGTTGGTGGAGCAAGTGGCATGGAGCAGTTAGGGGCTGAACGGTGCTGGCGTCAGCTAATGGGGTGCGCTAGGGAGGAGAGACGTCAGATTTAATATTCCCCCTTTCATTGATATAGGCCATCTCACTCTCACCATTTCTTCTCCCCTCTCGCATTTACTCCCTTCACCTCGCAATTGCTCCCCAGGGAGAAGCGAGAGACAGCCTTGTGCATGCGCGAATCAAAGAGAGCCACACCGCCATCCCTCCCTATACCCCCCATCACCCCCTCTCACCTCCCTTCCCCTCGCCCCTCTGATCCCTCTCACCTCAAAACTGCCTCCCAGTGAGAAGCGAGTGATGGCCTTGTGCATGCGTGAATCAAAGAGAGCCACGCCGCCATCCCCGCCGCCTGCAGGCGGTTAGGGAGAGAGAGAGAGAGAGAGAGAGAGAGAGAGAGAGAGAGAGAGAGAGAGAGAGAGAGAGAGAGAGAGAGAGAGAGAGAGAGAGAGAGAGGGAGGGAGGGAGCGCAGAAGCAGGTGAGGTGGGAATGCAATGTGTGGGTGGGATGGAAGCACCATGGTCGGAGGTGGCATGGGCTGTTTAACGGGCGAGTCACGGCCTTGTGTACGTGCGTGAGTAAAATAAAGTCACTCTGCCTTATCCACCACCTGCAGGTGGGCAGGGAGAGAGGGATAAGGAGAGGGAAAGGAAGAGGGGGAAGTGAACTCAGTGGAGAGGAGAGGTATGCAGTGCGGGGATGGAATGTAGGCATGGGACAAGTGGTGAGGATGGGTGGCATGTGTGGTGGCATGTGTGGTGGCATGTGTGGTGGCATGTGTGGTGGCATGTGTGGTGGCATGCGTGGCATGCGTGGCATGGGTGGCATGGGTGGCATGGCAAGAACAGGAGGGAGAGTGCATTTGACACGAGGATGGGAGCAAGCCAATGGAGTTTGGGAATGAGAGCCTCACACGTCTTCCTAGTGGAATGTAAGGGGGCTGGAAGGGAAGCAGAGGACCAATCAAAGAAAGGCCACCAGTACAAGCAAGTCCAATCGCTTCAGGGAAGCCTGGTGAATTGTACGTGTGTAATATCAGAGGAGAAAGGTAGATGAGGGAGGGTAGATGAGACATAGTGGGAGGGAGAGAGGAGCTCACCAGCAACGACGGTTCGAGAGTCGGTGGGGTTGGCGGCCACACATGTTACGAACTGGATGGCGTGGGCGTGGGGGAGGGAAAGAGCATGTTTACGGATGGGAAGACGTCGGCATAAGTGACATGAATGACAGAGAAATTCGACATACGGCATGAGCTCCTCTCGTTTGACACAGTTGGTGGGGTTGGCGGCAACACATAACATGAAGTTAGAGGAAAACGAGGTTGTTTTTCTTACTGAGAAGAAGGCAGGTCATGTGGAACACAGAAGATCCCACTCTGTGTTTTTGCGAATCCCTCAAGATCACCCTGCAGTCTCAAAAATCACCCTTCACTTGGACTGAGGTGAAGGGCAAAGTAAGAACTTCACATACCCTTCACTTGGTGCCAAGTGGACTCACTGAGGAAAAGGCAGGCATGTGGAACACAGAGGGTCCCGCACTGGGAGCAGAGGCACCAGGAGTGGCAGTAGCAGCAGGCGAGGCAGAGGGTGCAGCGGAGGAGGAGGGGGGGCGGGAGGTATCCCAGAGGACGATGGTGGACGGCGCAGATCCCGTGGTATCAGAGCCGCACACGAGCCAGCGCTCGTCCGCAAAGCACAGCGCATCCATTGCCATGCGCACTCGCACACGGGCACTCTGCGCTGCTGCCCTGCTGGGGGTGAATGGATGATGAGACATGCAATGTAAGGCGAGCGAAGCGCAGCGCATCCATCGCCATGCGCACTCGCACCGGGGGAGGTTGCCGTGCTGCCCTGCTGGGGTTGGGGAAGCACATGTATGATGTGATGTCCCGTGCAGTGTCCACACAAAGCAAAGCACGGCGCATCTGTGGCCATGCGCACTCGCACCAGGGTATTCTTCCCTGCTGCACTCCCTGCCCTGCTGGGGGTTGGTTGGTTGAGGGGTGAATGGATGATGGGACATGCAATGCATGGCAGCTCAAATCACGGCGCATCGACAGCCATGCGCACTCGCACCAGGGCACTTGCATTCTTCCCTGCTGCACCCACTGCCCTGATGGGATTTGAATGGGGTGTTTGAACAATGTGTGATGCAGAGTCCACACAGCACACCACATCCATTGCCATGCACACTCGCACCGGAGCACTCTGGCCAGCTGTTCCCACTGCCCAGCTGGGGTTGGTTGGTTGGGGGATGAATGGATGATGGGACATGCAACGTAGGGCAAAGCAAAGCAAGCAGAGCGCATCCATTGCCATGCGCACTTGCACTGAGGCACTCTGCCTGCCACCAACCAATGTGGCCCGCGCAAGGGTATAACCCCTGGCCCCGCATCCTCCACTGTCCCCGCTGCCCCTCCAGCTCCTGACGTGCCAGCTCCATGGTTGAGTCATAAAGACGATTGGCAGTGAGGTGTGGGCTGTTATAGTCAAGAGTCCACTTAGAGGTCGCGGATGCCCATGAAACCGCCTAAGCAGAATCTGGCGTCTTCAAACCGCCTCTGTTCAAAACGCCGTCACGATCAGCTCCGATAACACATGAGGCTGAAACTTAGACAGCAGTTAGCCTTAAGTGTCTGCTTTCCAACGGTGTATTTCTTGCTTTCACCAGAGGTGTATGCGCTACGCTGTGAACGAAAACGTAAGCTCGGCTGAAAAACCTGTATTCTCATTGATGCAAGGAAGAGGTGAGGTACAACATTGCCTAGGGAACTCTTAAGGGGTTGGGATCATCATGGGAACTCAGAGAAGGTTGAGTACTAGGGGAGAAAGGTTAGAGAAGGATGGGAAACGTCCTAGCTATGTCAGCAAAGCCAACCACACATGGATGTTCAGAGCTGTACTCAAGGCAACCAATTGTGAGTTAAGCCAACCATGAGTCAGCTATCTTCCCACTTGCACCCTCTTGCAAGCTGGTTCTAGGAAGACCACACTTCTCAAAAGGAGAGCTGTAGAGTCCCACTTGACCACCTGTACTTCTTGTCTCATTCTCTGTCCCTGCACCATTTGCATGACAACAATGAAAGGGTGGCAAGGGAAATGCTGCCAACAGTGCACCATGACTACGGAACAGTGAATTTCGGCAGCTGTCACGCTATGCTCAGATGTTGGATCGTTCTGAAACTTGATGACCACCTGCACAGCGGGGCAAAGGATTGCCACACCGAATTTCAGACCAATCAGAGCTCGGTAGACGAGTCAGAAGCCGAAATGGTGAACTCGGGTGTTACCAAAAAGGAGTAACACACACTTCCCGGATGCCATAAGTCTTGAAACATAAAATGTTGTCATGCCTTGGTAACTGCTTTAAAAACTCTGAAACTTTGAGGGTTTGAAGAACACATGTTGAAAAACCTCCCCACAAAATTCCAGAAGCTGAGCATGCTTGTAGGCCGAATGGGAGTGCGATGACCGTGCCACTGTAATGTGTTGGCACAACAAACTCCCCCTCATCGTGCTCTCATTCATCTTTTAGCTGCTCCCTGAAGCTGCCTCCCTTAGTTGAAGGACATGCCACACAAGGTGGCACAGGTCCAATGCTGATGCTCTGCAAGCCTCTTGGTCAAGAAATCTGCAGGTTGCTTGGTAGTGTTGATGTAGTGCAAGGAGACCGTGCTCTTCTTCACCTCCTTCCTCACCCAATGCCATTTGATATGCATGTGCTTGTTCAGCCCATGGAGCACAGCATTGCGAGCCATTGCAATTGCTCCTTGGCTGTCACAAAACACAGGTGTAGGACCCTCTTGCTCCTGCCCCAACTCCTCAAGCAACCTCCTTATCCAAACCACCTTCTTTACCCCATGAAACAACGCCATGTACTCGCTCTCCGTTGATGAGTGAGCTATCTCCCCTTGCTTCTTAGACTTCCAGCTCACTGGACTCCCTCCAACACAGCATACATAGCCACCATGGGATGTTGCATCACTAATGTCACTTGCCCAGGTAGCATCGGTGAAGCACGATAGGTACAAGTGTCAACGCCTTGCAGGTGCACCGGTCTTCGTGCTCACCTCCTCCACTCCCTTTTGCTTCAGCTGCCCATGCATTGAATATTGCAGCCCCACCCTTGAGGTTGCCATGCAGTACCTCACCAGCCTCTCTGCTACATCAAGGTGCTCTTGAAGGGGCCTAGACACCATACGAGCCAGCTGCAAAACCGCGAATGAAATATCGGGGCGAGTGTTGACCGAAGCATACATCAAGCTCCCCACCATTGACTGGAACCGACGCTGCAACTCGGGCTCCAACACCTCACCCTCCTCTTCATCAATGTGTAGCTGAAACCTTGAGGGTAGAGGATACTTCACACTCCTCTCTTCCTCCAGCCCATACCTCTCCCCCATGGCTGCAAGGTACTTGTGTTGGTGAAGCCTCAACCATCCCTTCACCTCGTCCCGTTCTACGTGAAGACCAAGGTAATACCCCACCGGTCCAAGGGCCTTGCATTGAAAGGTCTCCTTCAGCTTCCCTTGCACCTCCTTGATCCTCTCTAGAGATGGAGAGAAGAGGAGAATGTCATCGACATAGACAAGGAGAAACACCTTCTCCTCCTCCCCCTCGGTCATGAAGAGACTCTCGCCGCACCCGTTGACTTTGAAGCCAAGAGCCTCCAACGCCTCCATCAGCCTTCCATACCAGCACCTTGGAGCTTGTTTGAGACCATAGATGGCCTTGTTGAGCCTGCAAACACGTCCGCTCCCATCGTCGTACCCCTCTGGCTGCTTCATGTAGATCTCCTCATCTACCACGCCATAGAGGAAAGCCGTCTTCACATCCATTTGCTCCACCTTCCAACCACAAACGGCAGCTGCTGCTTGGGAAGAGCATAGTCGACCCGACCCGGGTTTTGACCCGGGTCGGGTCAGGAGTTCTGAACCACTGACCAGGCCGGGTCGGGTCGGGTATACCCGGCCGGCTCGGGTCGACCCGTGACCCGATTCCGGGTCGGGTCGGGTCGGGTCGGGTTTTGACCCGATTATGGACTCGACCCGGTTTCGGGTACCGCGCCCTATCTCGGGTTGGGTATCTGGCCCGACCCGAGGGTTTCCTCTCGACAATGTTATCCAGATCGCAATCGCGCTTGCTTGATTTCCCAGCAACTAGCATTTCGATCTGGATTAAGTTAGGTTAACTAGCTAGTGACGCCAGCAGCCACCCACCAAGCAACATTGGCGTACTAATCTACCCTAGAACCCACGATAATGTTTAGTTAGTACTCAGCCAATCGCACTTCGCACTTCACGCCATCCATCCTAGGGTTTCTTTTAAATCTGAAATTCACAGGTCGCGCTCCCACCCTAGGCGCGCGCATTGCAGGCCCGCGTTTTAGGGCATCTTTGCGCGCCGTGCAGGCGCAGGTCGCTAGACCCGCGCCCCTACACATTATTAAGGAGAACCTCTAACCCTGCCTATGGGAGTCGGCCCGACCCGACCCGACCCGGCCCCGACCCGACCCGACCCAGGGGCGGGTCAAGCTTGACCCGGCACCTGATACCCGGGTCGGGCCAGAGATCTCAAAAGTTCCGACCCGACCCGACCCGACCCGGAACCCGGCTGGCCCGCCAAAGTCGGGTCGGGTCGGGTCGGGTCATTTGATCATACCTAGCTGCTGCTAGCAACACCCGGAGCGTAGGAGCCTTGGCAACAGGAGCAAACACCTCCTTAAAGTCAACCCCCTCCCTCTGCTGGAAACCCTTGATCACAAGTCTTGTTTTGCGCCTCTCCAACTTCCCCTCCGCATCGGTCTTCACACGTAATATCCACGTGCAATCCAATGCTTTTCTTCCCGGGGGCAGATTAGTGAGGGTCCATGTTCCATTCTCCATGAGGCTCTGAAACTCATCCTTCTTTGAAGCCAACCAAGCCTCTCGATCATCTCCAGCAAGTGCTTCCTCCATTGAAGCTGGTTCATGGGGTAAGTTGACACCGAAGCAACAAATCTGCTCCATCTCTCTCTCGGCTCCCTTTTCATCATCTTCCTCCTCCTGGACCAGCAATGCCTTGGGACCCCCAAGCCTTTCATACTTGAGGAAATCTCTTGGGTGAGCAGCTCTCTTGGGCCTCTCTTTGGTTGCACCCTCTTTAGCTCCATCGCGGACAGCACCACGCTTCCCTTGGGTTGTCCGCCTTGGTGGAAGTGAAGGGGATGGTGTAGGCTGCTGCACCTCCTCCCCGGCAGCACCTCTCTTAGCTACAGGGGCCGCCTCTTGCTGCAACACTCCCTCCACCTCTGCTGCCTCCCCTTCAGCACCTCCCAAGTCATGTGACACCTCCGTTACCTCTGAAGATGAAGACAACTCGATGAGAATCAGGAGTGGGTCATTCGTTCCCACCTCTATTCCGAGCGGAATGGTGACCTTGCTCCTCCCTCGCTCCAACCACTCCTTGAACATGAGCCTCTCCATGAACTTGGCATCTCTGGTGGTGAAGATGGTATTGGCTTTTGGGTCCCACATGAGCCACCCCTTGCTCCCTTGTGCAAGTCCCAAATGAACAGCCCACACCGCCGCCGCTTGAAGCTTGTCACGCTTCTCCTTAGGGACGTGCACGAGTCCCATGCACCTGAAGACTCGAAGCATATCCACCAAGGGCTTCTTGCCTCTCCACTTCTCCATAGGGACCCAATGCTGCCCTCCCACATGAGCCAATACTCGGTTCTTGATGACGGTGGCATGGCGAATAGCGAGGGGCCAGAATCGTAAGGGTAGACCCGAGTCTACCAACATCGTTCTCCCACCCTCCATGATGGTCTGGTTCGCTCTCTCTGCCACGCCATTGGATTGAGGAGTGTAGGCCGTGGTGAGCTGCTGCTTGATGCCGTGCCGCTTCGGCCAGTTCCGGAACTCCGCTCCCAAGAACTCCCCACCACGGTCGCTACGAATCGCCTTCACCCGCTTGCCGCTCTCTCGCTCCACCAAGGGCAGCCACTCTTCAATGATGATCCTTGCAGCATCACTTTTCTTTGCAAGTGGAAAGGACCAGGTGAGCCTTGTGTTGTCATCCATCATGGTCATGGAATACAGGGCCCCATCATCTCCCTTCACTTTCATGGGTCCCACGAGATCCACATGCACGAGCTCCACCGGGTCGCTCGACTTCCCCTCCACCGAATGGAAGGAAAACCGTGAAAACTTGCTGGTCAAGCAAGTCTCACAAGATCCCACCTCCTTGGGCTCCCCCTTTATCCTCAGCCCCTTGACTTTTTCCTCCTTGAACAGCTGCTGCAACTGAGGTAGCTCCACGTGGCCAAAGCGACGGTGTGCGGTGAGCCAATCCGTCTCACCCGTGCTAGGAGTTACACTTGGTAACTTAGCCCCTCCATGCCCAAGGAGCCCACCATCACTATCATCACCACCTCCTCCATTGTCCACGTGGTTAACACGCCCTCCTCTCACACCTCCAGCAGCCAAGCGCGCAGCCGCCTCTTTCCATGGCAGCACCGGTATCTCCCACATGGACCGGTGCACATCCTTGCCGCCTCGGAGGTCCCACAACACGCGCCCATCCAAAGTTGCCTTGAAAACCTTTGTGCCCAACATCTCCATCTTCATCCCTGCTTCACTTAGGGCCTTGGTAGAGAGGAGGTTGGCACACAATCCAGGAACAAGGAGAACAACTTGGCCCCACAAGCCTCCCATCCGCACCCATGAACATGGCTCTCCCCTCGCCACGCACGGGTACAACTTGGCCGGTGGCTGAAACGACGGTGGCTGCCTTTGATGGCCTAACTTCATCCAGTAGATCCTCTCGGTTGGTCATGGTCATGAAGGCTCCCGTGTCGATGACCCAATGGGAGGAGCGGTGAAGAGCAATCTTGCTGGCCGGCACAACCATGTCCTCGGAGCACGCCTCCCCTACATGGTAGAACATGCCGCCGTATCCGCCAGCACCTCCACCGCCCTCCCTACTGCCCATGCCTTCTCCCATAGCTCCATGAACACCCTTGGAGCCCTCAATTGATGGCTGACCAGGCCTCCAACCATCAGGTAGCTTGCGGCACTTGAACCATGGGTGCCCTTCCACATGGCAATACCAACACTTGCCGCCACACCGCTTGCCTCCCTTGTTGCCACGCTTCCCTCCCGAATGCTGCTCCCCTCCAGAGCCTTCCTTGGCCTTGCCTTTCTTGCTGCCACGCCCCTTGAAGCCCTTCATGCCGTAGGCTGAACCTCCACCTTCACCGGCAGTGGCGGTCAGCTCCTTCCTCCGAAACTCCTCTTGAAGAACTTGTGCGCGAATCCACTCAAGGGACCACAAGTCCTTCATGCCATTAAGGTTGACCACCAAGGGCCCCCACGACTCCGGCAGCAGGGAGAGGGCCTTGTAGCACTTGATTTTCTCAGGGTAGTTCACACCAGCAGCAGAGAGCTTCACATAGAGGTCCCTGAGTTGATCGAACGCTCCTTGTACGGCATCACCCTCGTTGACCTTCAGCGCATGGAGTTGTCGCTCGAGCACCACCACCATAGCTTCGCTGCTGGGGGCATGGACATCCTTCAATATCTTCCATGCCTTAGGACCACACTCAACTTCCTTGATGAGATGCTTGATGTGGTGCAGCTGCTTGGATGAGAGGCATTGGGAGAGAAGGAAGAATCCATCCTTAGACCGGCGATCCCATTCTTTGGTCGCTCCTTCGCTCGCAGGCCTCTTCAATTCTCCATCCATCTCTTCAAGCAGCCCATAATGGTTGAAGAGGAGCTCCATCCTGAAGCTCCATGATGCCCAATCCTCCCCAGAGAACTTCTCTAGGTTGAATGCCTTCACATCATCTTTAGCTGATGTTGAAACGGAAGCCATTGGTGCAGATCCGCCTGCAACGCCTCTTCCCGCTTCCCCAGCGCCTCTCACGCCACCACTGCCACTGGGACCAGCTGGAGCAGAACCTTCAACCTCCATATTCACCCACGAACAGAGTAGAACAGCTCTGATACCACTTGTTATAGTCAAGAGTCCACTTAGAGGTCGCGGATGCCCATGAAACCGCCTAAGCAGAATCTGACGTCTTCAAACCGCCTCTGTTCAAAACGCCGTCACGATCAGCTCCGATAACACATGAGGCTGAAACTTAGACAGCAGTTAGCCTTAAGTGTCTGTTTTCCAACGGTGTATTGCTTGCTTTCACCAGAGGTGTATGCGCTACGCTGTGAACGAAAACGTAAGCTCGGCTGAAAAACGTGTATTCTCATTGATGCAAGGAAGAGGTGAGGTACAACATTGCCTAAGGGAACTCTTAAGAGGTTGGGATCATCCTGGGAACTCAGAGAAGGTTGAGTCTCTGAGGAGAAAGGCTAGAGAAGGATGGGAAACGTCCTAGCTAGGTCAGCAAAGCCAACCACACATGGATGTTCAGAGCTGTACTCAAGGCAACCAATTGTGAGTTAAGCCAACCATGAGTCAGCTTGTCTTCCCACTTGCACCCTCTTGCAAGCTGGTTCCAAGAAGACCACACTTCTCAAAAGGAGAGCTGTAGAGTCCCACTTGACCACCTGTACTTCTTGTCTCATTCTCTGTCCCTGCACCATTGGCATGACAACAATGAAAGGGTGGCAAGGGAAATGCTGCCAACAGTGCACCATGACTACGGAACAGTGAATTTCGGCAGGTGTCACGTAATGCTCAGATGTTGGATCGTTCTGAAACTTGGTGACCACCTGCACAGCGGGGCAAAGGACTGCCAGACCGAATTTCAGACCAATCAGAGCTCGGTAGACGAGTCACCAGCCGAAATGGTGAACTCGGGTGTTACAAAAAAGGAGTAACACACACTTCCCGGATGCCATAAGTCTTGAAACATAAAATGTTGTCATGCCTTAGTAACTGCTTCAAAAACTCTGAAACTTTGAGGGTTTGAAGAACACATGTTGAACAACCTCCCCACAAAATTCCAGAAGCAGAGTAGGCTTGTAGGCCAAATGGGAGTGCGATGACCGTGCCACTGTAATGTGTTGGCACAACATGGGCTAAGACTAAGCAAAGCATGTGATTCCATGGAATGATTCAATGATCATCTGATCTGGCATTTATCTATCAGATGATCAGACGAAAGAAACTGGTCGTTTGTGCTTGAAACAGCTGGTATGGCACCACCGGTAAGAGCTCATGCCAATCAAGGTATGGCTGGCTTGCAAGCTTCAATCACTATTGAGAATTCTCAAACATGGGCGCGCGCAACACAATACATGGGCGGAACAGTACTGGGCGGCACAGCACCTGGGCGGCAGAGTGAAGGAGGGGGAGAGGTGGGCGAGGGGCTTGGCTACACGCACGTCCCACAGGATGACCCGCGGGTCCCCACTGGCACCACTGGTGGCTGCTAGGTCTGATGTGTGGTGCAGGGTGGGAAGCAAAGTAGTGACAGGGTGGGGTGGTGGCGAGGGGCTTGGCTGAGCGCACATCACACCCCATCAAACAGCTTTCCCTACCCCTCTTTGCTCCCTTAATCATCACACCCCATCTGCCATCCGCTCCTCATTTTGTCATCCCCTTTTTATGTCAGCTTTCTCGTTGCCCCCTTGGTGACTGCTCTGACTCACGGGAAAGCCGATGGTTAACGGCAAGAGAGCACAGATCTTGTCACGATGACACGCAATCGGCAGGTTTGCACTGGCAGTGCTGTGGCCACTACCTCTGCCACTGCCGCTGCAAATGCCTCTGATGATATGACAAGATGCATACATGACCCACATGACAAGATGCACACATGACTCACATGACAAGATGCACACATGACTCACATGACAAGACGCACACATGACTCACATGACAAGATGCACACATGACTCACATGACAAGATGCACACATGACTCACATGACAAGATGCACACATGACTCACATGACAAGATGCACACATGACTCACATGACAAGATGCTCATATGACTCACATGACAAGATGCACACATGACTCACATCACAAGATGCACACATGACTCACATGACAAGATGCACACATGACTCACATGACATCTTCTGGTTAACGGCAATAGCACAGATCTTGTCGCGATGACACGCAATTGACGGGTTCCCACTGGCAGTGGCGGTGGCGGTGGCAGCAACTCCCGGCCCACACGAGTGCAGCAGTGATGCTGACGTGGAGTCCCACACCTGAAGGGAATGGTTGCCACAGCAGGTGGATCGGAAATGCGGTTGATTGACGGTAGGCTTGTAGCCTGCATGGATGGGCTTGAATGCAGAGAAAGAGTTAAATGCCTTTTGACACGTCTCAAAAGTCAAGCCCAGGCTTGAATGCAGGGCACGCGTGGGATGCCTGAAACCTCGCCACGAGTACACTCGTGGGTATGGACGGACCGAAACTAAACTGTTTCAAGTATGCTGTCATGTCAAGCCAGCCACCATGGCAAGGGCATGGCAAGGGCATGGCAAGGGCATGGCAAGGGCATGGCAAGGGCATGGCAAGGGCATGGCAAGGGCATGGCAAGGGCATGGCAAGGGCATGGCAAGGGCATGGCAAGGGCATGGCAAGGGCATGGCAAGGGCATGGCAGGGCATGGCAAGGGCATGGCAAGGGCATGGCAGGGCATGGCAAGGGCATGGCAGGGCATGGCAAGGGCATGGCAAGGGCATGGCAAGGGCATGGCAAGGGCATGGCAAGGGCATGGCAAGGGCATGGCAAGGGCATGGCAAGGGCATGGCAAGGGCATGGCAGGGCATGGCAAGGGCATGGCAAGTGCATGGCAGGGCATGGCAGGGCATGGTAAGGGCATGGCAAGGGCATGGCAGGGCATGGCAAGGGCATGGCAAGGGCATGGCAAGGGCATGGCAAGGGCATGGCAGGGCATGGCAAGGGCATGGCAAGGGCATGGCAAGGGCATGGCAGGGCATGGCAATGACATGGCAAGGGCATGGCAGGGCATGGCATGGCAGTGCATGGCATTAAAAGGCAAGTCCTCTCTCACCTTGAGTGTACAGCCCCCACAGGAGAGGATGATCTCACCATCCATGGCGTACTCCACCGCCTGGATCTGCCTTGGTGTAATTCGGTGGGGTGGGGTGGGTAGGGGTGGGGAGGGGTGGGGATGTGATGTGATGGGGATGGGGCACACGGGAAGGGAAATGGGGGAGGGAAGGATGGGGGATGGAATGTTGTCACCATGCATGGCATACCCCACCGCCTGGATTTGATGACATGGTGTGATGTGGTGTGGAGTAGTGGGGTGGGGTGGGTGGGGTGATACGGCAGTGACGATACATGGCAAGAGAGCAATGGGGAAGATGATGGCGTGATCATCCATGGCACACTCCACCGCCTGGATCTGATGCCGTGGTGTGATGCGGTGGGGAGGGATGGGTTGGGGTGGGGTGGATAGTGTGGAATGGTGCGGCGTGGTGTGTTGTGGTGTGGTTTGTGGGGCACTGTGTGGTGCTGTGAGGTGATGTGATGCGGTGGTATGCATTGGGACGGCGCCCCAAGGAATATGAGGTGGGGCGGATAGGGGATACCAGTGAGGGTTCGTGGGGGGAGAAGGTGATGAAACACCGGCACACAAAACAGGCGTGCGCTTGGTGGGGTTAGGTACACACCTGACAGGCGTGGCCTTGCAGGGGGCGGTGGGAGCCGGAGGAGAGGTCGAAGAGGAGCAACTCGTTCGGGGCCTGGTGGGATGGTGGGGCAGGGGGCAGAAGGGTTATTAGAGAAGGTCATGTATCGTATGTGTGAGGGTATTCGCTTACGGTCGCAAGCGCAAAAGAATTGTGTCTCAAAGGGCAATTGTTATTGCTGGCAAAGAGAAGAAAGGTGAGGAAGAGGAGAGAAGGAAGGAGAATGAGAGGATATTGCACCTGTTCCTTACACAAAGGAGAATGCGATGAAAGGGAGGGAACGCGAGGAAAGGCGCACCTCATTGCAGCCAATGACAAGACAAGCTGAGGCTGGCCTGGTATGGAGCGAGTTCACTTTCCAGTCGACTCAAAAGTCGACAAAGTGTGATGATTATTGCAAGCAACCGTCATGAGAGGCGCACACGCACCTCATTGCAGCAATGAGGCCTGCCCCAGTGACCAGATGAGGCCTGCCCCTGGGGTGGAACCGAGTTGAATTTCGAGTCGACTCTCCGAATTCAACAAGTCGTCATGTTTGTTGCAAGCAACTGTCATGTCAGGCGCACCTTTGAGGCGCCTCAAAAGTCACCGCTCACCTCGTTGCAGCCAATGACAAGCTGAGGCTGGCCCCTCGGATGGAAGCGCGCATCCAATACCTTCTGCACTGCCAGCTGGCGACCAACAGCATGCATGGATGATGACGTGTAAGAGATGACATGATGACGTGTTACACAACATACAATTCCACAATCACACCATACCACATCACACCACAGACCACAGTGCAGGCTGTGAGGGAGAGTGGACTGTAGATAGGACGACACATGCTGGTGTGGATCTTTGGAACTTTCCAAGGTAACATGATGCAGGATGGGGAGTGGATGTGATGTGATGTGATGTGATGTGATGTGACGTGACGTGATGTGATGTGATGTGATGTGATGTGACGTGACGTGACCTGATGTGATGTGATGTGATGTGATGTGATGTGATGTGACGTGATGTGTGATGTGATGCGATGTGGATGTGATGTGGGTCCACATGGCATGGCAACGAGACTAAATGTGCTGATGTGGAAATGGTATGTGTGTGATAGGGGACTGGAATAATCGCAGTGGTTTCAATTTTCAAATGCTCCTCTCACATGCAATCCCACTATCCCACCATCACACCATCCCACCACCTCAACATCCCACCACCCCACCATCTCCCCATCATGTCACATCGCTGATGTTGGTGGTGGGTGCATGCATCAGCAGCATGGGACCATGCCACCATCCCACCACAGCCTATCATCCCACTGTCCCACCATCACCCCATCATCTCACATCGCTGATGTTAGTGGTGGGCGCGTCAGCAGCATGGGAGGTGTAACTGGCCCAGGTAGGCCGCCACGTGTCACCACGTGATTGGCAGAGGACCGAACCCAGGCCTCTACGTGGGTTGTCCAGTGATCCCCATCCTGCCATAATCAGTCCAGTACCGCACAGCACAGCAACGCACCCCACAGCACCACAATCCTCGCAAATTAGGTACTGACTGTTGGGATATTTCAGAAGCATAAAAGCACGTACACTTTATGTGTTCAATCATCCTTCCATGCCTTACAATGGCAGGCCCACCATTCCCAACCCTCCATGCCCCACCCACCCTATCCCAACCACCATACCCCACACACATTCTACTCCACACCAACCCCACCCCACCCAGCCCCACCCTGCCCTACCCCACCCACCCTGCCATATCCCACCCTGCCCTACCCCACCCTGCCTGATCCCACCTGTCCAAACAGACGAGTAGCCCTGGGCGCTCTTAGCTCGCATCCATCTCCCTCTGCTTTCCGCCCCTCCGCTCTCCCCCCACCCAGCCAGTCTCCTGTACCCCCGCCCACACTCCCTCGCCCTCACTGCCGCACTCACACCCCCATCCCCCACACCCCTCCCCATGCCCCCTACTGCGCTGCTGCCCATACGTTCCCCTGCATGCTCTGTCCCTCCATTCCGTATCCCCTCCCTCCTTCCCTGCTTCACCTCCTCCTCATTCTCGTCCTCACCCAACGCTGCTTCCTTTTCACACCCCTCCATTGTACCTTCCTGCCCTCCCAAGTTGCCCCCAGCCATCTCCCCACCTCCTCGCCTGCCTCTCCCTCCACCCCCACACACCTCCCTGGAACCTCCATCGCTGCTCCTCCCCCCCTTAAAGTCACACCGGTGATAGTCAACACTGCACACCACCCATGCCTTTAACGGTGCCTCTGGCCCCTCCCCCTCTCCCTGCCTCCGCCCCACCCCACACCTCTCAACTCCTCCCTCTCCCTGCCTCCGACCTGCTCCATGCCCCTCAGCCCCTTCTTGTTGGGGATAGCTCGTCCCCACGACCCGTTCCTGACTTGACTCATGAATCTCCCCGCTCCTCTCCATTCTGGACTCTGGCCCCTGTCTCTCTCCCTGCCTCCTCCCCACCCTGTGCCTCCCCGCCTCGCGCCCTTCATCTCTCTGAGAGCAGTGGCGGGGGGCGAAAGGGGGCTTCCATGGGGGGACGAACTCGTGGCGTCTCACAGCACTTGTCTGCTTCTCACAATCCCCTCCCTCACCACCCCTCTTCCCTTCTCCATTCTGGTCCTCCTGTCCCTTACCCTCTTGCCCCCCCTGCCCCACACTCTGCTGCTCCTCGCTCCCCTTACCCTCTTGCTGCTCCTCCCCTCTGCCCTCTTCCTCCCTCTTCCCCTTACCCTCCTCCCGGCCCCTATACCCTTGACCCAGCCTCTTGCTGTCTGTTCTCTCCACGCTGCATTCCTGCAGCAGCAACAGGTGGTGCTGCAGCAATACGAGGCTGGCAGGGAAGGGCCCAAAAAAAAGTGAGGGAAGGGAATCAAGGGGCGGAATGTGAGAAGAGGAATCACTGCTGTCTTTTTCTATGCCCATCGTCCTTTCTCTCTCTGCTGCCTCCCTGCAACAGCAGCAGGTGTCGCTGCAGCAACGCAAAGCTGGCAGGAAAATGGAATAAGGAACGAAATGTGAGTAGGTAAGTCGGGATATTGGGATAGAGAGAACTCATTACAGCCCTTCTCTGTCCCCCTCGTCCCTTCTCCTCCCTCCCGTTGCATCCCTGCAGCAGCAGCAGGTGGCGCTGCAGCAGCTTTTGAGTCGACTCAAAAGCAGCAGGTGGCGCTGCAGCAGCTTTTGAGTCGACTCAAAAGCAGCAGGTGGCGCTGCAGCAGCTTTTGAGTCGACTCAAAAGCAGCAGGTGGCGCTGTATCAACACGAGGCTGGGAGGGGAGGGGTACGGCAAGTGTGAGGAAAGGGGATCCGGGAGGGAATGTGAGAGGAGAAAATGGGCACAGCTGGATAGAGGAGAAATCACTGTGTTCCATCTCTCGGCCCCCGACCCCATCACCCAGCCCGCCCCACTGCCACCCTGTAGCCACACAACGCTGCAGTGTGCCATTCGGCTTGGAGGGAAGAAGATGTGTCATGTGACATTGTAACGAGGTGACTTTTGAGTCGACTCAAAAGTCATCCCGCCCCACTGCCACCCTGTAGCCACACGACGCTGCAGTGTGCCATGCAGCTTGGAGGAAAGGACGGGCGCGCAGGGGAGGGAGGAAGGAGGAGACGAGAGATGGCATGGGCGGAGGTTTAAGAGAATTGGCTGATCAACAACAGTGAAGGCTCCATCAGATGTTTCACGCAGCCCACCTGTTGAAGTAGCTTCTGAGAAATCTCAGAAGCAACTCCGAGATTGGCCGATCAACAACAGTGAAGGCTCTATCGCATGTCTCTCGCAGCACACCCGTTGAAGTGTTTCACGAGAGCACAGTGCTGCTGCTGCACCAAGTGCCCCACCTCCTGTGTGTCAGCTGCCTTCCCTTCCACCGTTGCTCCTACGCATGTGCCTCCAGCCAACAACAGCGAATGCTTCATGTATCACACGTCTCAGATACACTTCGCGCACCTGCTGAAGTGGTTCACGAGAGCGCAGTGCTGCTGCTGCACCAACCGCCCCACCTCCTGCACTGCGCCTCTGCTGCTTCCCCTCCCCCCACCACCGCGCCCACGCATGTGCCTCCAAACGACGGCAGTGAATGCCTTATCTTTCGGACGACTCAAGTGCGCCCTACCTACCTGTTGAAGCAATTTCTGAGATGTCTCAAAGGCCCTCACCACCACGCCCACGCCCACACACGCATGTGCCTCCAAATGACGGCAGTGAATCCTCTATCTTTCGGACGACTCAAGTGCGCCCTACCCACCTGTTGAAGTGGTTCACGAGAGCGCAGTGCTGCTGCTGCACCAAGCGCCCCACCTCCTTTGCCTCTGCTGCCTCCCCTCCCACCGCTGCTTCCACTGCCCTCTGCTTTTTCATGGGATGCTGGAAGACAGAGGGGGGTATGGGGGAGATAGGGAGGACGGGGAGAAAAGGGAGACGGGAAAATAGCGGAGATAGGGGGAAAGCGGGAGGTAATTTGAACAGGCTGACAAAAACATTACAGGTGCCATTGCAGGATTGTCTGTACTTTTGTTCTGAAGCTCATCGCACAGAAAGGTAATTGTTTGGCGAACTGACTCTCGGAAAGGCAAGAAGAGGGGGAGCGGAGAGTGAGAGTAAAAAAGAGGATAGGGAGACCAAAATGTAAACCTTTGAATTCAACTGTTAGTGACGGCTGTGGGATTTGAACCCACGCCTTTTTCAAGACTGGAGCCTAAATCCAGCGCCTTAGACCACTCGGCCAAACCGTCACATCTTTACCGCAACTTTCACATTAATATATGTTTCGGGCTCACCGAGGGAACATATGCAGACAGGCTGCAAGCTCGGGTGTGAGGGTGCGGTGAGGTTGCAGTGAGGGTGCAGTGAGGATGCAATCAAGGTGAGTCACCTCACACAACCTCACCTCACTTCACCCCACCCCACCTCATCTCACCTCTGTGTATGTCGCCATTCTTCCTCCCCGCCTCCTGCGCCTCCCAGCGTCTCCCTCTCCTCCCCTCCGCTCTTCTCCCACCTCCTCTCCTTCCCCATCCTCGTCCCCCTCCTCGTCCCCCTCCTCCCCATCTCCTCTCTCCCCACTGCTCCGACACTCATCATAGTCCACACCCTCGGCTCCAACCCCTGCTCCTCTTCTCCTCTCTGCCCTTCTCCCCATCCCTCTGTCTCCCCCACTCCCTCTGTCCCTCCTCCCTCCATCTCTCCCCCTCCCTGCCTCCCTCCCCATCCCATCACCATCTCCCACCACATCCTCCTCCCCCTCCTCTCCCCCCACCGACCCCTCTCCTTGCACCATCCCCTCACCCACAACCCCCAGCCCCCCCTGGTGTTTAATGCGGTGGAAAGCGGTAACAGTGTACTGCACTATACGCTGCATGGGAGTGCGTCTGAGCTCTAGGGGTAATCGCCCCCACTCCTGCTGCACCCACTGCCGCACCTCCCATGCGGCAAGGGTGGGTGTGGTTGGGGGAAGGGAGGCAAGCCACCGATACATGGGCAGCCACTTGGGGGAGATTGGCTGGGGGTTGCAAGGCGGGAAGGGGGGATAAAGGGAGAGTGTAGCGGGAGGGAGGGGAGGGGTGGGGGTGAAAAATGAAATGTGTGAGGAAGGAGGGGAGGGGAAAGGGAGAGTGTGGGGGGATGGAGTGGAATTGCAGCTGCCCCCACTCCTGCTGCACCCACTGCCGCACCTCCCATGGGGCAAGATTCCGTGTGCTTGGGGGGAGGGACGCAAGCCACCAATACATGGGCAGCCACTTGGGGGAGATGGGCTGGGACGGAGGAAGTGGGAGAGAAGGGGGAGAGGAGGGCAAAAGGAGGGGGGCGAAAGGAGGGGGGCGAAAGGAGGGGGGCGAAAGGAGAGGGGCGAAAGGAGGGGGGCGAAAGGAGGGGGGCGAAAGGAAGGGGGCGAAAGGAGGGGGGCGAAAGGAGGGGGGCGAAAGGAGGGGGGCGAAAGGAGGGGGGCGAAAGGAGGGGGGCGAAAGGAGGGGGGCGAAAGGGCCAAGAGGTTAGCGCGGGATTGCAGCCGCCCCAATCATCCCACACCCACTGCCGTGCCTCCCAAGCGTTCAGAAAGGGGGAGGGTGGGTGTGTGGGTGTGGGAACAATAGATACAGCACGCTTGGGAAACAAGGGCCAATGAGGTGGGGGAAGGTGAGGGGAGAGTGGGGAAGTGCGGAGGGGATGAAGGGGATGATAAAACCGCTCCTGCCGCTGCACCCTCTGAGGTGAGGCGGGGGGCGCTTTCCTGTGATAGGCGGGATGAAGGCGCGGAGAGGACGCGCGAGAGCGAGAGTGTGCGGATATGAAATCGCGGAGGGATGGCGGAAGAAGGTAGAGGCGGGGCGGCGGCGGAATGGCGGAGGTATGGCGGGGGAAGGGAGCCCATGCAAGCGAGCAAGCGGCGAAGCGCGACTCACCGGAGCCATGGCGCGAAAAGGCGAAGCGGGCAGAAAGACGGCGGCTCGCGGAAGCTGTAAGCGCGGAGGGGCGTGCGGGCAGCGAAACGGTCAGGCGGAAGAAATGGCTGCGTCAGACGCGGTAGACGCGGGCACGACGGATAATTCTCTAAAACAAAAAATGGCTGCTTCGCCTCCAAACAAGTCGTTTGCCGCCTAGTAGAGCGTTTCGTCTGATTTGAACCAGGAAATACTCGTAGTGTAAGTGGTTGAAAACGGTAATGATGCGAAGCCCAAAAGACGCTACTAAAGAGCGTATTTTCACTTAGCTCGTTCCGTGCCGAAGCCAGGACCCAGTAGGATACTGAGAAACGTATTGCGAGCACAAGCTGGCGGACCCGGCGTAACTCCGCGACTTCTTGCAGTTCATTTCTCGCCACAGGCAACTCAGGGGAGGTGTTCCCAGTTACTTCTGCAACAAAAAATCGCTAAACTCGGTCCCGCTGTCGTCAACTGAGGAAACTTCTAGCGCCCAAAATGATCCTTGAAATGAGACGGTTCAAAACTTCCTGGTAGGTCGACCTTTGAATTCAGGAATCCGACCCAGGGTGGGGATGACCCCGGTGTCGAGCCTCGAGATCACCACTCTCACTCGTGGAGGGACGAATACTAGGAAATTTATCGAGGTAATCGCCTGTTAGCCTGATCAGCCTTCACAAAAACGGAGCTTCCTGTATCATCCGTCGATTATTCTGTCCCCACAGGGATCGTCGTGGATTCGAGCCGCATTGCGTCCCCGTGCTCGCCGTCAGAGAATTGCCGCCTGGCGAGCATCGCCATCCTCATTGCGACTCGCAATGAGGGGTTTCGGATCCTTCCTCTAGAATCTCATCTTAAAGGCTTCCAACGTACGGCTAGGATTGCCTCAGCTGCTGCGTGGCCGCTGTTGAGTCGAGCGGCTTGTGATTCTCGCGATACGGAGAAAACGCTCCCGCGCCGCGACGTTGCGCACTCGATTCGCGGAACGTGATTGACATTAAGCACTCGGCGCGTTCTGCTCCTCCCCGCGGATCGCGTCCTCGCGGCATGGCGGGCAGCGGTCGCCCCGAGGGGTACCGCGAGGGGCGCGCGTGGAAGGCGCGCGTACTGTCCACCACTGCCACTGGAGGTGCGTGGTGCGTCAAGGGGAGATCCGTTGGTGAAAGGCGCCACTTGACTGGACTGTAAGTCGGCTCACAGGTGGAAGGCGCGCGTACGAAGTTGCTGTTCAAAACCCACTCGCCTCGGGTACCGCGAGGGATGCGCGTGGAAGGTGCGCGTGCTGTCCACCACTGCCACTGGAGGTGCGTTGGCGAGACAGGCGAGTGTGCTGGTACGGCGGCTGAGTTAAAAGCCATTTCGCGCGTGGAAGGCGCGCGTGCTTTCTGCCACGGCCACGGGGGGTGCGTTGGTGCGCCCAGGACGTGCGCTGGTGTCGACCAACTGCCACGCGTTGGTGCGTTGGTTTGAGGGGGGGTGGATCGATGAAACACGAGGGGTATTAATGGGAGTGGGGGGGGGTGCTGGTGAATGTCAGGGAATGGCGGGGAAAGTGGCTGCAGCAGCAGCATCGTCAGCATCACTGGCTATTGTTCGGAATGCCTCAAGATCCCACCCTCTTGCTTTCCCCAACCCCTCTCTTTATCGGCTGTGCTGCGAATGGCTTGGGGAGTGGTGGCACTGACTTCATAGGCGCCGCAGAAGCCTTGAGTTGGGATATATGGGTGGCATGGCAGCAGCAACGGGGGGGCAAACCCCGCCAGGAGCAGCACTGACTTTTTGATTGGTCTCATAAACCCTTTCTCGTAATCCTCTTCCCCCAATCCCTCCCTGTCAGCTGTGTTGGGAATGGCGGGAGGCATGGTGGCAGCAGCAGTGGGGGCAGCACCGCCAGCAGCAGCGATCGTTGCCGTCACCAGCAACTGCTGCATCGCAGCCTTCTGTGTGGCAGGTAGTGTGCGGGGGAGGTACGGGGCGTGTGTCTAAGGTAGGGTGTGGGGCAGGTGATATGTGCGAACAAGTAGCGTGGGTCGGGTCTCTTGTGTGGGGTAGGTAGCATGTGTGTGTCAGGTGGTGTGTAGCAATTGATGGGTCTTATGAGGTGACTTTTGAGTCGACTAAAAAATGAGGTGACTTTTGAGTCGACTCAAAAATGAGGTGACTTTTGAGTCGACTCAAAAATGAGGTGACTTTTGAGTCGACTCATCAATTGTCTCACACCCCTCAGACGTGGAGGACGCGATGATGGAGGTGCGCGTGCGCCTCTCTTCGGCCTCCGACCCCTCCTCTTAGTCCCCCCCTCCCCACCTCTGGCCCCACTCCCTCCCCTCCACCTCTCAACCCGTCTAGCTCTCTCTCATGTACCTTTAAGTCGGGAAGACGCAGTGAGGGAGGCTCGCTCTTACCATAGACCCCTCCTCTCTCCCTTCCTCGTACCTCTCTGCTCCCCCTGCCGCCCCCCTGTCTGTCTACCTCCCTGTCTTCCCATCGGGTCTGGAGGAGGCAGTGAGGGAGGTGCGCTTCTCTCTGGCCTCTCTGATTGCTCCTTTCCCCACCTCCCCCCCCCCCCCCCCCCCCCCCCCCCTCCCTCCTTGCCCTCCCTCCTGCCCCTCCACCCGCTTCACCCCTCCCCCTCACCCGTTTCCCAACCTCAGGCCTGGAGGAGGCAGTGAGGGAGGTGCGCTTCTCTCTGGCCTCTGACCCCACCAACGGGCTGCTGGGGGGCGCTCTGACCGCCCCCTGCCCGCCCTTCCCCCCGTGAGCCCCCCTCCCCACCCCTCCCCCCACCCTTCATCAGGTCTGGAGGAGGTAGTGAGGGAGGTGCGATACTCTCTGGCCTCTGACCCCACCAACGGGCTGCTGGGGGGCGCTCTGGCTGGAGCTCTCTTTGGGCGGCTGCGAGGTGAGAAAAGGGGTGGGGAGAGGTGGGGTAAGAGGGAGTTTGGAAAGACAAGGATTGGGTTGTTGGGAAGGGTGTGAGAGGTGCGATTCTCTCTGGCCTCCGACCCCACCAACGGGCTGCTGGGGGGTGCTCTGGCTGGAGCTCTCTTTGGGCGGCTGCGAGGTGAGAGAGGGTGGGTTGGGAAGAGACGGGAAGGAGCGTGGGAGGGTGGGGAAGGTGGGAAGGGTGTGAGAGGTGCGATTCTCTCTGGCCTCCGACCCCCCAACAGGCTGCTGGGGGGCGCTCTCGCTGGGGCACTCTTTGGGCGGCTGCGAGGTGAGAGGGGGGGAGGGTGGGAGAGGAGTAAGAGAGGGATTGGAGAGAAACGGCGGTGGGTTGGGAAGGGTGTGAGAGGTGCGCTTCTCCCTCCCGTGCCTCCGGCCCCACCAACGGGCTGCTGGGGAGCGCTCTGGCTGGGATTTGTCTGGGCGTCCGCGAGGTGAGAAGGGGAGGAGGGGGTTGGTTGGGAGGGAGGTGAGAAGGTGAGGTGAGGGCGAGAGGTATGAGCAAGAGGTTTGGGGGAGAGGGGTGAGAGGGGTTTTTGGAAGCGAAGGGTTGGAAGGGTGAGAGGTGTGCGCTTCTCCCTTCCCCACCTACATCCGACCCACCCCACCATTGCGCTGCTAGGGGGTGCTCTGGCTGGGGCACGATTTGGGCGGTGAGGGGGAGGCGAGAGGCGAGAGGGATAGGTGAGGGAGAGGTTGGAGGGAACAATGAGATGCAGAGTTGAGATGCAGAGGTGTGATGAGGGGTGTGAGGGAATGGTGAGACAGAGGCGAGAGAGAAGATGGCGCGTGGAGACAAAGGTTCCACGCAAAGGGACATAACAGAAAAGAACGTCCATCTCTCTTCCAGCAGGAAGAGGGGCTTAACATGGAGCTTCCAACATGGAACATGGTGCTTAAGAGGAAGCTCCATGTTCCATGTTGGAAGCTCCCTCCATGGAGGAAGCTCCATGCTTTTCTCTTACGCCTTCTCCTCTTCTCTAATGTGTTTCCCCTCCTCTCTGTCCTGCAGGCAGCCGAGACATCGCCATCCGGGCAGCTGTAATGTTTGGCCTGGCCGGGGCAGGGCACCGGGCAGCCGTGGAAAGTTTCAAGGAGTGGCGCATTCAGCAGCTCCTGGCTGCCCGCGTGGCTGAACACACTGCCGATCCTCATGCCTCCCATGCAGACGCGGCAGCAGACACAGGTGCAGCCACTACAGCATCGTCCCCACCAGAAGCCACTGCAGCCCACCTCTCGCAGTCACCAGCAGCAGCAGCAGCAGCAGCAGCTGGAGCCCAGGCAGGGGCACTGCAAGGGAAGGAGCAGGGCGTGGGGGAGCGGGGCGTGGGGGAGCGGGGCGTGGGGGAGCGGGGCGAGCAGGCAGGGGTGAAGGCGGGAGGGCGGTGGGAGTGGCCAGAGTGGCTTCCTGTGAGGCGGCTAGGTGAGGAGGAGGTGAAGCAGCGGCAAGAGGAGTTCAGACAGAGAGTGGCAGCAGCACAGCGGCTGGAAATGGCTGGTTCAGGGAGGGAGGGAGGCCTGGGAGGTGCAGGCGTGGGGGAGAAGGGGGCATGAGGGATGGTAGAAGGTTGGAGCAGACGGGTGGGTGAGGAGGAGGTGAAGCAGCAGCAGGAGGAGTTCAGACGGAGAGTGGCAGCAGCACAGCGGCTGGAAATGGCTGTTGGGGGTAGGGAGGGAGGCACGGGAGGCGTGGTTGAGGGGGAGAAAAGGGGGTGAGGGACGGTATAACGTTGGAACCTGGGGAGGTGCGCGAGGAGGAGGTGAAGCAGCGACAGGTGGAGTTTAGACGGCGAGTGGCAGCAGCACAGCGGCTGGAAATGGCTGGTGGAGGGAGTGAGGGTGGTACAAGAGGTGCAGGGGAAAGGGAGAAAGGCAAGTGAGATCTGTTACGAGGGTTGAGCAGGTGGGTGGGCGGGGAGGAGGTGACGCAGCAGTAGGAGGTCCGATGGGGGGTGGCGTGCAGTGGGTGGAAATGGCTGGTGGTGGGAAGGAGGGAGGCGAGGGAGAGGCCGGGAAGGGGGAGAAGGGGGAAGAGAGAGATACCGTAGCGCAGATGGGGGGCATGAGCCAAACCCCTTGAGCGAATTTTGGTACAGCTGATCCCGTCGCTTAACAACATGCCTTTACACACAGCAACTCGTTTTCTATCAAAATCCTACTGATTTTGGGCTAGACTAGGCATTTCCAAATTTTGCAAGTGGCAATGCAGAGTATTGGTATGAACACGAATCTTGTTACCATAATCCTCCAGATATAAGCCCCTCCCAAAATAGAACACGCCGGCTAATATATTTTGTTTCCTTCCTTTTTACAAGGGGATTTACATAAGACCCTAGGGTCTTATATTCAGGGGATTTTTGTATCAAAGCGTATGCAAGCTTGCCACTGGTTGAATGGTTTTTCAGCCATGAGTGCAGTCAACAAATGTTTATCGCAGGGACAGCCCTGAAGTATCAAAACATGAACTAGCATAGTGGTACTACTCTCATGCAACTATTCTCATGCCAAGCACCCTATCCTACTATGGCATTCTCTGTCCGCCCATCCTGCCTTTGCCCCTCTCTCGCCCCACTCCTTCAGCCGCAGCACTACCAGCCCTCGCTCTCCGTTGCTTGCCCCTCATTCCTCATCCTCCTTGCTCCCATCCTCCCAGCATTGGGGTCTTCAGGAGGGGAAGAGACACACTCGGTGACACCAGGGTCATCCCAACCCTACACAAGGCGAGCTGCTCCTGGGTGCATCCCCCCACTGCCAGCCCCCTTTCCCCCCCCTCCCTACATCCCACACTGTCCCCCCCTTCCCTCCATCTCCCTGCATCCCACGCTGCAACCGCACCCCCACTCCCCACCCCACCCAACCCCCGGCTGCCTCACTCCCTTCATTCCTCCTCCTCACCCTCATCCCCTAGAGATGCAGCATTGGGGTCTTCGGGAGGGGAGGAGACACACTTGGTGGCGTCAGGGTCGCACCCATCGTACTCGTGAAGGTCAGAGCGCGAGGCGAGCTGGTCCTTGGTGAAGCACGCACAGCGCGTGTCCTCACTGCCCCCCACTGGCCCGCCTTCTGCCTCTGGGATTCGAGGGATCTTACGGGGCACCCCACTGTCACACCACACCTGGGAGAGAAGGATACAAGGACGGGAAAAAACGGGGCAAGGAGGATAAGGGGAGTTGAAGACACGCACTTGGTGGCGTCAGGATGGCACCCATTGTACTCCTGAAGGTCAGAGCGCGACGCGAGCTGCTCCCGCCCGTCCTACTGCCCCCACTGGCCCACACGTGGGAGTCGGATGGCGCAGGGCTACATCTTACCACAGTCGTTCTGAGGCCTTTGCCTTGTGAGGCGCCTCACAAGTTAAGACAGGAACGCAGGGTGGGAGTAGAAGGCAGGGAGGAGAAGCGAAGAGAGAGAGGCCACAACTTGCCACCCTCGTTCTGCGCCCATCGCGAGTTGCATCCAGGGTGTTTCTTCTCCATCCACTTTGGCCACTGAGGTGACTCAAACCATGAGCGGAAAATGGGAGGTGGGGAGAGATGTGCAACGAGGGACGCGCCTCACCTTGCCGCCGTCGTTCTGCGCCCAGCGCGAGTTGCACCCGGGGTATTTCTTCCCCACCTCCTTGGGCGTTTGCACCCGGGGTATTTCTTCTCCGCCACCTTGGGGGTGGTGAGATGAGATGTCTCAAAACGATGAGTGGGGAAAAGGAGGTGTGGAGACATGCGCGGGGAGGTAGGCGCCTCACCTTGCCGCCCTCGTTCTGAGCCCATCGTGAGTTGCACCCAGGGTATTTCTTCTCCGCCACCTTGGCCACGTCCCTCAGCCGCTTGCCCTCCTTGAGAAGCTCGTCAAACTCGCCCAGAGAATCTCTTGGCTTGCCCTGCTCGTCGTAGAACCGCCCCACCAGCTTGCCCACGTGGCTGCAAAGAGAGACAGGAAAGGAAGGGCAAGGAGGAGAAGGGTTGAAGGGTGAATGCTGAGCACCTTGGCTACGTCTCTCAGCCGCTTGCCCTCCTTCAGCAACGCGTCAAACATGTTCTGAAGTACAAGTCCCGCCAGTCAGCGATGCCGATGCACTGCTCGCCTGACAGCCCCTCACATGCTTTCTCCTCGCATCCAGCGCATACAGTGGGGTGCTGAGACCAACGCAACGCACTGAAGGTTTGAGACTAAAGCAGCTCACATGTAGGTTTTGAAGTAGAAGTCCCGCCAGTCAGCGATGCCGATGCACTGCTCGCCTGACAGCCCCGTCAGATCGTCCGTTAAGCCGTCACCTGCAGGATGGAGAGGGATGGAGAGGGATGGAAAGGAGTGGACAGGGATGGAGAGCGTGTTAAAACAGGAGGGAATGGGAGAGTAAGGGATGGTAAGAGGGGGAAAGGGATGGAAAAGGAATGGAGAAGGTCTGAACAAGGCAGATGGGGACAGATGGGGAGAGGAAGGTGCGGGGAAGAGGAGTAAAGCCTTGAAGGAGCCCTGTGGTGCCATGTGGTGCCATGTGGTGCCATGTGTGGTGCTGGTGGATGGCTGAAGGTCAAAAGTAGACAGAAACGCTTGAATTTGATATGAAGCAGGCTTACCATTCATGCGTGGTAAGCTATGGCATGGCATGGGTTGGTATGGCATGTCATGGTATGGTATGGCATGGTATGTCATGGCATGGTGTGGTAAAGTCATACCTGAAAAATTGCCTGAGACAAATGCCCTTGTGGCATCCCTGTGAGACGGGATTGGTGGGAAGGGGAGAGACACGAGGGAGACGGGGGAGGTGCAAGTGAGGGGGGAAAGTGCGAGACAGAGGCGCGGAGGAGAGAGAGAGGGGGGAAGGTGTGAGACAGAGGCGCGGAAGAGAGAGAGAGGGGGGAAAGTGTGAGACAGAGGCGCGGAGGAGAGAGAGAGGGGGGAAAGTGTGAGACAGAGGCACGGAGGAGAGAGAGAGGGGGGAAAGTGTGAGACAGAGGCGCGGAGGAGAGAGAAAGAGGGCGTGAACGCAGGTTGCCACACGGGGAAGCGGGTTGAGAGAGGGAAATAGAAAGGGGACAGGGGCAGGAATAAAGAGGATGGGAGAAGCAGTGGACATGACAAGGATGATGGCAGAGAAGATAAACAACACAGCCACTGACACGCCTATGGATGCAGCATTTTAAGCCAGAGCTGGTTTCGAAAGCACAACCATCCGGCATCAAAACTAGGAGCCACTGAAGCAGCAGCAGCATGCACTGAACGATTGTTCCGGGATGCTCTGTGCAAGGTGCGGTTTGCTTTTAAGTCGACTCAAAGCTCTGTGCGAGGTGTGGTTTCGCTGACCTGCCAGCGAAGTGGTTGTAACCCTGCCCCTTGCCGTAGTGCTTCCTGCCCTTGGTCACGTCAAACACGTCCCTGCAGCACGTATGGGGCATTGGATAGAGGATTGGGGCGCCGGGTGAAGGGTGTGGGGTGGGTATTTGAGGCGCCTCAGAACGGACCTCTGCCCCTTGCCGTAGTGCTTCCTGCCCTTGAGGTATGGGTTGGGTTATGGGGTATGGGGTCTGGGGTGTGTTCTTGAGGCGCCACTAATCGGACCTCTGCCCCTTGCCCTAGTGACCCCTGCCCATGGTATATGGGGTATGGGGTATGAAGAATGGTGCATTGCGCATAGGCCATGGCTCACAGGCCATGGCGCATTGAGCATGGGGCATTGGGCATGTAGCATTTGGCATGGGGCATTGGGCATGGGGCATTGGGCATGGGGCATTGGGCATTGGCCATGGGGCATTGGGCATGGGGCATTGGCCATGGGGCATTGGGCATGGGGCATTGGCCATGGGCCACTGGGCATGGGCCATTGGGCATGGGCCATTGGGCATGGGGCATTGGGCATGGGCCATTGGGCATGGGCCATTGGGCATGGGCCATTGGACATGGGCCATTGGGCATGGGCCATTGGGCATGGGCCATTGGGCATGGGCCATTGGGCATGGGCCAATGGGCATGGGCCATTGGGCATGGGCCATTGGGCATGGGCCATTGGGCATGGGCCATTGGGCATGGGCCATTGGGCATGGGCCATTGGGCATGGGCCATTGGGCATGGGCCATTGGGCATGGGCCATTGGGCATGGGCCATTGGGCATGGGCCATTGGGCATGGGCCATTGGGCATGGGCCATTGGGCATGGGCCATTGGGCATGGGCCATTGGGCATGGGCCATTGGGCATGGGCCATTGGGCATGACGCGCGCCCCAGTCACCCTCTCCTGTCCCCTGCCCACGCATTCTTCTGACCAATTCAGCGCAGCGGCCCACTCACCCGCTCCCCCCCCCCCCCCTCTCACCCCAGAATGCCCCCCGCGCGCCACTCACCCCAGAATGCCCAGCAGCAGCGGAACGCCCTTCGTCGACCCGTTATACTTGGCCAGTTCCTCCGCGCTCCACAGCTTCTGTTATAAACGAGACATCCATAAACGAGGCAGTCACAAGGGAGACAGTGAGGCATGGCGTGCGAGGGGGCAGGGCATGGGCATGGGCATGTAAACAGTGGAACGCCCTTCTGCGATCCGTTGCACTTGGCCAGTTCCTCCGCGCTCCACAGCTTCTGTTGTACTTGATACAGTCACAAGCAACACGTGAGGCATGGCATGCAAGCGCGCAGATGGGAAGCAGCGGATGGGGCAAGGAGGAGGGGGGGGGACGGAAAGGTTGAGAAGCCAGAAGGGGAGGACTGGAGTCGGTGAGGAGAAACCTAATTTCAGCTGAAATGTTAGTAGCAGCGGGGCTGAGAGAGGTTGGAGTGGGTGCGATGCGCCGCTGTTGGTTTTAAGGCGGTTCAAGCGCCGTGCATTGGTTCAGCTGTGGTATATCCTCTACGCGTGACGCATCACGCACAGTTGGGGGATATAGAAACGAGGAACAAGAACCGGCGCAGACACTACGAGAATTGGATGGGTTGACAATAACGGATCGCAGGCACTTGTCGCCACCCTTGCGACGCAATCCGCGACTGGCGACAAACGTCGGCGACGCATCCTGCGACGAACGCAGCGACTCACATCGGCTTGCCACTGGGCTTTCCGCGGGTTGGACCGCGTCGCGACCTTCTCGACGGGCGGCTCGATCTCGAACTCCTCGTCGTCGTCAATCGCGACAAACTCGCTGTATTCCCGCCACAAATAATATCCCGCGCCCGCCGCTGCCGCCACCAGAACCACGAGCACCAGCACGAGCCAGCCGGACCGCCGGCGCGGCGACGCGCCACGTGGCTTCGCCTTGTCCTTCAACGCGTCGGTATCTTTGATCGCGTTGCCGGCGTCCGGCGCGACGGACGGCTGAGATCCGTCGGCCGCCGTGCGGCGCTGCTTCAAGCTGACGCCTGCCGCTGTCGCCGTGGCCGTCGCTGCGCTGCCCTCGCTCATGGCGAATGGAGGGTAGTATCCGACAGTAAGCGACCGTAGGCGACAGTATGCGATAGTATGCGCCAACTACGTTGTTGTGAACTATGCTCGAAGCACTTCGTGGCGAAAATACACAAGGAATCTGTGAATCTGTCAAGTACTTGGTGTTCTGAACGGGAGAAGCTAGCAAACGGAGCAGCAGGGCTATTTGTTTTGGCTGAGCTGCGGATTTCCCTCCGCCGCTGCTGCGCGCCACAGCGGAGATCTGGTTGTCTGGTTGTCTGCGCGCCAAAGCCAGGATCCCATTGGATAACTACGAAAAAACTCGAAGCCCATTGGCGAACGAGCTGCTTCGAGAACACCGCGAGACTGGCGATCGAACCAAGTGTTTTCGCGAGTCAGAGGGGAACCGTTTGATAACAATATTTGACAGCTGTAGAACGCAAAGAACCTCACTGAGCCGCACCCAAACAGCCCTTCTCCCCCCAGGCCGGTAAACTACTGCTTTTCCCTTCCATTTTCTTCTGGGCCGTTGACCAGTCAGCCTGCTCAAAATTTCCGCCAATCCCAAGGCGCCTGGTATTTCGTATCTGTTGACACGTCAGCTCAGCTGAGCTGTCCATATGTCGATCCTTCTCGCCGCGTACCGCGTGACTGCTGCATCCGCAGCCAGGAAATCGCCATTGCTGTTTTAGGATCAAGACACCGTCGTTCTCTCAATTGCTTCAATCTCCTGATTTTCTTAGAGCGAGCCTGAGCGAATTAGCGCCTCTGGAGTGTGCGACGCCAGTAGTATGGGCGACGCTAGAATGAGCGACCCTAAAGTGAGTGCGATTGAAGCGCAAGCGGAGCGGAGTGAAGCGACGGAGCCGCTCGGCGCGCAGCAGGCGGTGATGATATTCGTGAAGCGGCCGGCGCCGGGGCGCGTGAAGACGCGCCTGGCGGCCGGCGTGGGGGCGGACGCGGCGTGCGACTTCTACTGCGCGTGCTGCGAGCACGTCGTCACCAATATCGCGCGCTGCCCCGACCTGTACGTGACTATAGCGAGGCGCAGGCTGTGGCTATTATGATACTAGCTGTTGTAGCGTGGCCTCTAGCTCAGCCTCGCATGGTCGCGGCGGGAGCATGTCCGAGGATGACGATGTGCCTCATTTACGTGACAGCTGGCATGCGCAATGCGACCATCCTGCGACATTGCCTGCCTTCCTGCCCGCCTCATAGTTGGCAGTGGCCTCCGAATCACTCCGACACACAGACGGCTGTGACATGACAGTCTTGTTGATCAGCCATGGTTGTGGTGTGGCAGGCAGGCACGCATCCACGCATGTCTTCATCTTCTTCTCTGAGCCGTCGGATGAAGGCGAGATCAAACGGTGGATGCAGCAGGTGCTGCCATCCTCCACCTCCCTCCGCTTTGTGCCTCAGGTGAAATGTTCACCTTACCTCAGCTCTGCAGTCTCATCCCATTCTCAAACCCCGTTCTCACACCCCATTCTCACACCCCATGCTCACACCCCATGCTCACACCCCATGCTCACACCCCATGCTCACACCCCATGCTCACACCTTTTGCAACCATCATTCTCACATGCAACGCACGCCTGCCGCCCATATGCCATAGTCCATTCCATGCATGCATCAATCGCTCCCCTGCCACCATCCATGCAGGTGGGGGGAGGGGAGGCGTGGGGCCACACATGCAAGCAGCCTTCCACCACCCTAAAAATGAACTAACCCTAAACCCTGGAACCTTAACCCAAATTTCCACCCCATACAGGTGGGGGCAGACGTGGGTGTGCACATCCAAGCAGCCTTCCACCGTCTTAAACCCGAACCCTAAACCTTGAAACCCTAATCCCTTGCAACCCCATACAGGTGGGGGGAGACGTGGGGGCGCGCATGCAAGCCGCCTTCCAGCACGTGCTGGGCCTGGGGTACCAACGGGTGAGAGCATATCGGGGTTGATGTGGGGTGAGCTTTGGGGGTAATGCATGTCAATGCCTCAGGATGAGTTTTGCAAATTCTGCGAGTAGCGGCAAATCAGTCTGCTCAGTCAAATTTTCCACGGTCTTCCCTGCTTTCCACTCTTTACACAAGGAATGACAAGAAATCACCCTCGCGGTTTTTACCTGAACAGAAGTCGCTTCCACAGTTTCACTCCTCACCTTTCCATGCTGCCGCCCTTTTGGCGAGAGATTCTCATGGCAGGCAGTGATGATCTGGATGGCAACAGCAACAGGAATTCTGATATGGATGGCTCTATTGTCACTGCTGCTCTCTCTCCTCCCCGTTGCATGTCCCTCGTCCCTCTGCCTCACACACTCCGCCATGCCAGATGGTGGGGGGGGTGGTTATCTGAATAGAAATCCCTGATGTGGATGGTGCCATTGCTACTGCCGCTCCCTCTCTCCCCGCCATTGCGTGCCACTCATGTCTCTGCCCCGCACACTCCACCATGCCAGGTGGTGGTGATTGGATCAAATCGCACATCCCTGATGTCGATGGCGCTATTGTTGCTGCTGCTTTCCCTGCTCCCCGTTGCATGCCGCTTGTCTCCCTGCCTGCCTTCCACGCTCCATCCATGACAGGTGGTGGTGATTGGAACAGACATCCCTGATGCCGATGGTGCCACTGTTGCTGCTGCTCTCTCTCCTCCCCACTGCTTGCTGCTCGTCTTGCTGCCTTGTGCCTCCCACACGCATCCATCCATGCCAGGTGGTGGTGATCGGAACAGACATCCTTGATGTGGATGGTGCCACTGTTGCTGCTGCTCTCTCTAATGGCCCTTTCATTGATTGTGAAACGTGTACATACATGCAAGGTAATGGCATCATGCGTGTGGGTCTGCTGTTGCTCTCTCTCTCTCTCTCTCTCTCTCTCTCTCTCTCTCTCTCTCTCTCTCTCTCTCTCTCTCTCTCTCTCTCTCTCTCTCTTCTCTCCACTGTTCTCCGCTTATCTCTCTGCCCCCATGCTCGTGCCAGGTGGTGGTGATCGGATCAGATATCCCTGATGTCGACGGTGCCACTGTGGCTGCTGCGCTCTCTGCTCTCAGGCACCACCGGGTGAGAGGAGGAGAGGGGAGGGATGGCACTGGTGGGTGAGTCTTGGGGGCATTGCATGGGCACTATTTGGCCTGCAAAGGTAAGTTGGTGATTGGAATAAACATCTCTGACATGTGGATGGCTCCATTTCAGAATGGCTGCTGACATTTGAGACGTCTCAAAAGTCTCCATTCTAGAATGGCTGCTGCGCTCTCTGCTCTCAGACACCACCGGGTAAGCGGAGGAGAGGAGAGGATGTCAACGGGAGTTGTGTGTTGGCCCCGTCCTCGCTTGGGCGGAGTCGAATTCGTGGTCGGGTGTGAGGGGAACAGCCGACTTGCAGCAGTGGGCGAGCTGGTTGACGAGGAATTCAACCTGCACGGGCGCCGACTTCAGGGTGGCGCCGACTTCAGGGAGGTCGACCTGGGAAGTCGACCTGCGGAGGGCGTCGACTTCGTGACGCCAACTTGGGGCAGCCGACTTGGGTGGTCGGCTGACAGGACTGCTGGTCGATCTGGTGGTTGGTCGACCAGGCCTGCTGGTCGACTTGGTGGTTGGTCGACCAGGCGTGACCTGGTGGTCGACGGAGGAGGGGCCGACGTCGACCACGACTCAGGACGCCGAGCAGCTGGGTGTCGAGTAGCAGGGCGTCAACTTGGTGACGCCGATTTCGGGTAGCCGACTTGGGTGGTCGACTGACAACTGTGCTGGTCGACGTGGAGCTAGTCGACCAGGAGCGTGGTCGACCTGGTGAGGTCGACTTGGGGTGGTCGTCGACTTGGGAGGTCGACGAGCACATACAGGAGCAGCTGGTCGACGTGGTTGCCCGGTCGACCAGGTTACCTGGGTGAC